GCTCTTCTCCTAGTTCTTCCATAAACCGCACAGTAGATAGGTTGATCTCCTTAAGTTTTGCCTGAAAGATAGAAAAAGAACAGAAATATAAAGGTATATCTTAGTGTTTTCTAACACTACAATCTGCCATTAAAACAACCCCTACAGATTAACCAATAGGATGATGGTTTTGTGAATCTTAAACTTACATCCCGCATATTCAAAGAGTTTTGATTTTACTACCATGCTTGAAATGGATTAAATCTTTATCAGAAATGCAAATTTGAGATAATGAGTATTTCAACTGAAAAAAGACAAATGTGCTAGTATATTTCTTGCAAGTTAAAAAGATCAATTCTGGGTAAATTGGTCAGTTTTCATAAAACAGGAGTAATGGAAGTGGTTAACAATAAGACAATCAGACACTGTGTACATTTGAGACACAGGACTACCATTAAATCTCACTCCTTACTACACACTAGTTTATGAAATCAAAGCAGTTTTTAATAAGTGAAAATATTTGTTTGTTCAGTTGGTAGTAGCCAGAACAGATGTTGCCAGCTGTAGCAAACTGTGTATTGTCACTGAGAACTAGCATCTACTAAAAATTATGTAAAAAACATTACTTTAGTTTTGAACAGAATTTTAACTTGGAAATATCTTAATTAATCAGAAGATTATTTTCTAGAGGTTAAAGTATAGAGAAAAATTTGAAGCCATTTTGATTTTACTGATTGCTGAGGTACAGAGTCTTAGAAGCACCTAGACCCTAGACCCTTCTGTAACCTCTTCCCACAAGCCAATGATGGTTTCATACAATTGGAAATGGAGGTACAGTGATTAGGAAGGAAAACTGTTGTGTGCACTGCTTGTTCTGCTTAAAAACATTTAAATCCAGAAAGCTGTTATAAGGAGCAAAAGTAAGTGCAAAAGAAGAAAGAATCCGTAGCATCAAGGTCTCCAGTTACTGAGGCAAGATATCAAAGCAAGGCATGACTAGTAGGGGTGTGCAAAGCAGGCTGTATTCAATTCCGATATGGCCCGATTCAGGGGGCAGTGATTTGATTAGTTGATTTGAATCACTGTCCCAATTTGATTCTGCTGAATCCAAATCTGAAGATTTGATGCTGATTTGGAGAATCAGCGATTTGGCCATAGACACAGCTTTAAATGTTTTTTCTACATACCTTGAGGTACCAAACACGGCTTGTAAATGCTGAGATGGTGGGGTGGATGGAGCATCCCACAGAAAGGGGGGGGGGGGGGGGGAACGACCCAGATGCTTGGCGGTGGACCTGTAAGTGGACTGGGAAGTACTTCTGGTCCACTTCCGGGACAACCACTGAGCACATGGGGGAATACCCCTGCACCCTCCCGGATCAGCAATCAGCCACAGGGGGACCCCGGGTGCCCCCCCAGACCCAGAAGGCACCAGTCGCCAAGCCAAGGGGGCAGAAGAAAGCCAGGGGGTGCTCCACGGTGGACCTGGAAGTGGGTCGGAAGTGCTTCTGGTCCACTTCTGGGTCTGCTGGCAAGCGTGCTGGGGACCACACCATGCTCCCATGAGATGCTCCATTTGCCCCACCATCTCAGCATTCATGAGCTACCTGGTACCTTGAGGTACGCAGAAAAAACATTTAAATCTGTGTCTATGTCCGAATCATCAAATCTCCCTGAATCTCTTTGAATTGATTTGGAGGGTTCCGATGAGATTCAGAGATTAAAAGTTTCCCAATTCGATTCGGTGATTTGGCCACTGCATTGGGCCAAATCTCTGCTGAATTTAATCAGCAACCAAAGCTTCGTGCAGCCCTAATGACTAGTAATGATAATTCAACTCAACATGCCCATTTTGTATTACAAAGTATTCCTTAAGGCTAAAAGTTCTAGATGCAACTAATAATTTTTAGATGCTCCACCACAAATACCCTAAATGGACCTGATTTTTATAAAGTTGGTGATTGGTGCTTTCCGATGCCATTTAAACAGCTCTCAAATTGGACACCAAAAAATTGAGGCATTCAAAATCATGACACTTTGGAAAACTTTAGCCAAAGAAAATTCTGCAAAAAAATACCTGTTTGTGTTGATTAATAAGTGGCATTTCCATGTCCTGGCTAGGAGAGGCCATCAGTTGGCGACGTTGTGGGGTGGCAGCGGATGCCTTTTGTTTGTTTCTACACATACAGACCAAGAAGAAAAGGCAGGCGATAACCAAAGGAATGGCTATGCTGGGAACCAGGATGTAGAGAATCCCCATTTTGCTGTTGTCACGTGGGCCTGGTGAGAGTTTAAATAGTTACTAAAACATATATTCAAAGGCAAAGAAAATTCAAAATGCTACTCTGGACTATTCAGACTAATCTTTAAACCAACCAGAAGCAAAATCACATGATTTTGAATAGAAAATTATGTTCTAAGTAATGGCTTTTAATCCATTAACCACACAGTCATTTTCTTGTAAATATAAAATGAGAGTAACATGTTGATAGCACAAAACAGCAAGTTGGTATGAGGATGAATCATGAGGTTATCAGACCTGTTTAGTCTGTGCTGATTGTGCTAACTTGCTAATTTATCATTTTTTTTTACGAGAAACGTTATTTTTGAACCTCCCCCAACACAGAAATCACAGAATATAAATGACAGTGCAACTGAGTTAGCTTGCTTAGGGTATTGAGTAAAGTGATTAGTCTTTATCATTACCAAGCAGTGCAGTCTTCATCATTACAAAGCAGTGACCATAGTATGATTAACAGCAAAGGCAAACAAAAGATAGCCCTCCTTATGCAACATTAACCATTTCATTAGCATTTTGTCCACTAATTTATCTTCCACTGGCTCTATTTTTACTCCCTAAAAGTAAAATTTTATCCTCACCTCCTAGTCATACCGATACTGTTTGGACCTACTGTTTTTGAGGCAGTCTTGTGTTGCAGACAGGCAAAAGTGAAAACAGTGTCAATTTATTACGAGTTCTCTAAAGCATTTACTAAATAATTGTATGTATATGGCATATGCAGCACACCGTGATGTGTGTAATTTGAAAGATTTTATGCACTTCTTGGGAATGTCGTGTACAATCTGTGGCCATACGATTTGCGAGTGGTGCTTTCGTCTTAAACTTAGACCAATTTGTATCACTTTCTATCACGTTCTGCTAACCAGACTGTCTTTGTTAATGTTGGTGCAGTACTAATTCATTAACCTTATTTCGTTTTTTTTTGTATTTAGTTTAGGTGTCTTGTATGTCATATCATTTATATATGCCATATACTCATGCCTTGTATGTGGTCTTCAGTTTCATGCTTATTCTTCTAGTCAACTATAGTGTTTTATCTCCCTCTACAGGATGTAAGAATTCTTGTTCTCAAAAAATGCCTTACAGAGAAAAGGTATATAATTCTGAATAGTGTTAACAAAACCTGAGTTATACTTTAACAGATATGCAAGACAAAGCTACCTATATTAATACTAGACTCTGAGAAGTTAGAAAACTATACTTTGTAATACTACATAGAAAACACATGTAAATATTAATTATTAAATGTTTTCCCTACTTTTGCTCTAAAAGTTAAATAAATAGGCACTATAGACTTTCAAGTAACAAACTCTGGTCTTAACACAACTTTAAAAAACACTGGTGCCATACTAGACCCAATGAAATCCATGGAAGTGTAATTTGCTCTGTATATATAACAATATGCAATATTTAAAACTGTAAAAGCTGTAGCATAGTACTAGGGGGGAAAAAAAGATAATACATACTACAAGAAGGTACTTCACACAGTTCCATGCGTACGTTTTTATTTTGTGTAAAACACCAGGGACCCTCCAGTTGGCCTCCAGGATTTCGGCAATATGCATGTCCACCTCCTAGCTCTGGAAACTGTGTACTTGTCAGATCGTGTTTATGAGGATGCTGGGAGTCCCAATATTGACAGTTGTGGCCAGATTTGGTAACACCCACAGTCCCTCTATAATCTGCTCCTGAGCCATTGTAGCACTGATGATCTGTAACAACGAATTTCACAAAAAAATTACAAAAAAAAAAAAAAGTGGAAGCAAATTGGTAAGGTCTTCAAACTTCATTCCTTGGATGAGCATGGAACAACCCATTTTAGGATTTAAAATAGTGATAACAGAGATGCCTTGGTCCTTTTAAAACTCTGTTTAGGTGGCCACTGACATCTTTAGGTACCTAAACACTTTTGATATCCAGCCTCAAGCATGTCACCCTTGTGGCTTCAATTAAAATGACTTGGTATATCTGAATATGACTTGGTGCAAAGCAGGCTGAGCCTTCAGAAATACAACAAAGCATAATTCAGAGGAATCAGCTTCCTCTGTTCATCCCAAAGGCCACATCCACATGACTGCGGACATTTGGTTCTCTGGGGACAACTAGCAGTGGGACACCTTTTGCTGCTGCTAGTTGTCCCTGGGGAATGCCTGTGCCACGCGCTCTTTGGTGCGCAGCAGGATACCCTGGGTGGAGTAGGGGAGGCTGAGGCCAGCACTGTGCTGGCTTTAGCAGCCTTACCTGTGTTTCTGGGGGCCTGCTGGGCCTGCAGCAGTGGCAATTCTGCTGTTTAGAGCCTGGCTGGCAGCCGAAGTGTGGCTCTGGCTGGCCAGGCTCCAGTTTTGAGTGGCGAGTGCTGCCCCTGTGTGCATTGCTCTGCTTTTTTTTGGCATGCTGCTACCTTGCAGCGTGAAGAGCTGAATTGGTGCCGCAGACTTTTCTGCAGTGCCACATACTGTAGAGCCACACTCGTCTGGGTGCAGCAAAACAGATGTTGATCTGGAAGCCTAGAAATGCCTGTTTAAATAACCACAATATAAACTCCACATCACCCACTAATGTCTTATTCACTTTCCATCCTTTCAGATGCAGGCCTCTCCTTCCTTCCCAGGGGAATCAATATTACTATCTTTTAATATCTTCCTCTTTCCTTTATTTTGTACCTTCTTTGTTTCAGTTATTTCAGTCTTCTCTTCTTTTTTCTCCCCCTGCCAATTTGTATCTGCTTTATATCTGCTTATTTTTATTCAGTCTCTTTTCTTTTTGGTCTTATTTCTGCTGCTGTCCTGTTCTTGGCTGCATATTTTCCATATTCTCAAGCTAGAGGTCTAGTTATACACTTTTTTCCTAACTATTATAAGTATGATGTTATAAGTATGGTATAAAGACATGACTATGTTTAGTCTTGTGAGTCTCCTTGTGGTCCTTCTGAAGCACACGCTTCTCTTGGTTGCAGTACACTGATAGTAACACGAAGAAAGTCTGAATTGTGCTGTTGCCGCTGGTAAATCTGCCCTGTGGGTACAGGTCTTTATTTTCCAGAGCTCTCCATTCAAAACCTTTCATGCTTAAATTATTTAAAGCTCCCTATCTATTTAAAGCTTGTGCTTTACAGAAGGCATGACATCTCTTTTATGAAAGCACTCAGTATGGCCATAAGTCTTACATATGGTATCACAGGAAGCACCATCTCAAACCAAAATCTTGTTAGTGGTAGAAAAACAAAAAAAAAGATAAAGATAAAAGAGCTCAAGGCTTACATCTGTTGAGCCTTTCCACAGGGATCCCAATTCTTATACAGTTGGCACCCTCTATTGTCTCCGGTAGTGGCAGGTCCTCACACTTAGGTAGTTGGAGCTGCATCAAAATACGGGGATTCGACCTCGCGATGTTATACTCCTGCCTACAGAGATCGTTCTCCAAAACTTCACATTCATCCCGACACAGCTCCCTTGGTTTAGGGGTCCGAGAGCGCTCATCACACAATGGAAATACAAAGTGGCAGAATGATGGGATGGCGAACTGTGAGCACTGATCAGATAAATGGGTGGAAGTGCCGATCATGGTAAATGCAGCTGGAAAAAAGAAAATTACTGGCTAAGTACTAAAAAAATGAAAGAAATGAAATGATTTTCACATGAATATAACATCATTTGTCCTGAAAGGTTCCAAAGCCTCTGCAATAACAGTGAAATATGACATGCAGTATCAGTGAAATGTGGTCACTATGACATGGAGAGGAGAAGCCAGACAGACAGCTGAGATGCAGGGCAAAACCCAAAGTTCCACTGTTTCTGTAATGTCCATGCAGAGTATGTTGGACCCCAATGCTACAGGGTGTGGTCCAAGAGACCCTAGAGAATGAATCAGTGGTGCTAAATTTATTTGTCTTGGAGAAAAGAAGAACAGTCACGCCTGCCAACACATGAATCTATGGTTCCAAGGCTCCTAGTTAAGTCAATCTGAGTTTGGCTCACTAAGCTTCCCTTTCTTTAGACTCCTATCAGCAAGTCACATATCGACAAGAAAGAGAAAGGAATCTGTTAATACTTGGTGAGATGTTTCTATTAATAGATGCAAGAAGCCAAACAGGAAGCAGTCCTGAGAAGAAATTAATATTGATAATCTCAAAAGACTGAACACATTAAGATGACTGCTATAGTAAATTAGGGACTTGATCCTCTCCTCAGGCACTATTTATATACATACCACTTATCTGAGAGGTTTTGTGAACATTTTAAAGCTATCCACAGATGCATCATATATCTGAGGGATGAATAAAACTGTAAATGTAGGAATAAGTCCTTCCACCAAAAAACCTTTTGAACTAGAGCTACTAGACTGCAAGGAAATCAGCAGTTAAGTTATTCAATACCCCATCTCTTTTGATAGGTTTATCATAGAATCATAGAAAGTTAGGGTTGGAAGGGACCTCAGGATGTTATCTAGTCCAGCCGCCTGCTCAAAGTGGGACCATCCCCAACTAGATCATCCCAGCCAAGGCCTTGTCTAGTTGGGTCTTGAAACCCTCCAAGGATGGAGCTTCCACCACCTCTCTGGGTAACCTGTTCCAGTGCTTTATTACTCTCCTGGTGAGAATTTTTTTCCCTAATATCCAACCTAAAACTCCCTTGCTGCAACTTGAGACCATTGCTCCTTGTTCTGTCATCTGCCACCACGGAGAACAGTTGAGCTCCATCCTCTTAGGATCCCACCTTCAGGTAGGCTGCTATTAAATCCCCTCTCAGTCTTCTTTTCTCCAAACTAAATAAATCCAGTTCCCTCAGCCTCTCCTCGTAAGTCATGTCCCCCAGCCCCTCACCATTTTTGTTGCTCTCCGCTGGAGTCTCTTCAGTTTGTCCACATCCTTTCTGTAGTGCGGGGGTGGGGGCAAAACTAGGCACAGTACTCCAGATGTGGCCTCACCAGTGCTGAATAGAGGGGAATAATCATTTCCCTTGACTTACTGGCAACACATCTACCAGTGCAGCCCAGTATGCCGCTAGCCTTCTGGACAACAAGGGCACAATGTTGGCTTATATTCAACCCCCATCCCCTTATTGTAACCCCCCAGGTCCTTTGCTTCAGAGCTGCTGCCCAGCCAGTCAGCCCCCAGCCTGTACTGGTGTATGGGATTGTTCTGGCCTAAGTGCAGGACTTTGCACTTGTCCTTACTGAACCTCATGAGATTTTTTTTTGGCCCAATCCTGCAATTTGTCTAGGTGTCTCTGAATCCTAGCCCTATCCTCCAGCATATCTACTACTTCTCCCAACTTGGTGTTATCTGCAAACTTGCTGAGGGTGCACTCCATCCCATCTTCCTGGTTGTTGATGAAGACACTGAACAAAACCAGCCCCAGGACTGACCCCTGGGGTGCTCCACTTGATACCAGCTGCCACACAGACATCGAGCCATTGATTACTCCACTCTGAACCCAATGCTCCAGCCACTTTTCTATCCACCTTAAAGTCCACTCATCTAGCCCATACTTCCTTAGCTTCCCTGCAAGAATGCTGTGGGATACTGTATCAAAAGCCTTGCTAAAATCAAGGTACACCACATCCATTGGTCTTCCCGAATCTATAGAGTCAGGCGTCTCATCATAGAAGGCAATTAGGTTGGTCAGTCATAACTTGCCCTTGGTGAATCCATGCTAACTGTTCTTAATCACCTTTTTCTCCTCCAAGTGCTTAGAAATGGATTATTTGAGGATCTGCTCCATAATTTTTCCAGGGACTGAGGTGAAGCTGACTGGTCTGCAGTTCCCTGGATCCTCCTTCTTCCCTTTCTTAAATATGGACACTATGTTTGCCCTTTTCCAATCATGGGGGACCTCTCCTGAGTTTTCAAAGATGATAGCCAATGGCTCTGCAATCACATCAGCCAACTCCCTCAGCACCCTTCGCTGCATCCCATCCAGCCCCATGGACTTGTCCACATCCAGCTTTTCTAATTAGCTCCTAACCTGTTCTTTCACCACTGAGGGCTGCACCTCCTCCCCAAACTGAGCTGCCCGGTGCAGTAGTCTGGGAGCTGACGTTGCCTGTGAAGACTGAGGCAAAAAAGGCATTGAGCATTTCAGCCTTTTCTGCATCCTCTGTCACAAGGTTTCCTCCCCCATTCAGTAAGGGACCCACACTTTCCCTGATCCGCCTCTTGCTACCAACATACTTGTAGAAACCCTTCTTATTATCCTTCATATCCCTTGCTAGCTGCAACTCCAGTTGTGCTTTGGCCTTCCCGACTTCATTGCCCGAGCAATGCTCTTATATTCTTCCCTAGTCATCTGTCCAAGTTTCCACTTCTTATAAGCTTCTTTTTTGTGATTTACTTTACTGAAGAGTTCCCTGATAAGCCAAGCTGGTCTGCCATACTAACCAAGCTAGTCTTACTGCACATCAGGATGGTTTGTTTCTGCACTCTCAGTAAGGCTTTGAAGTACAGCCTTGAAGTAGAGCCAGCCCCCCTGGACTCCTCTCCCCCTCAGTCTGGCTTCCCAGTGGATCCTGCCCATGAGTTCCCTGAGGGAATTGAAGTCTGTTTTTCTGAAGTCCAGGGTCCTTACTCTGCTGCTCTCCATCCTTCCTTTCCTCAGGATCCTGAACTCAATCATCTCGTGGTCACTGCTGCCCAAGTTGCCATCCACTACTACATTCCCCACCAATTCTTCCCTGTTTGTGAGAAGTAGGTCAAGCAGAGCATAGGCCCTAGTTGGCCACTCCAGCACTTGCACCCCAAAGTTGTCCCCAGTATTCTCCAAAAACTTCCTGGATTGCCTGCGCATTGCTGTATTGCACCCCCAGCAGATGTCAGAATGACTGAAGTCCCCCATGAGAACCAGGGCCTGTGATCGGGAAACTTCCACTAGCTGTTTGAAGAAAGCCTCGTTCACCACTTCCTCCTGGTCTGATGGTCTATAGCAGACCCCACCATGGCATCACCTTTGTTGCCTTCCTCTGTGACCCTAAGCCAGAGACTCTCAACAGGCCTATCTCCAGTCCCTCTCTTCAGCGTCAGCTACCCTCCTACTACCTACACCAAATGTATCATCAATCTCTTCCTGAACAGCCAGAATGCTACTTCTTCAACTCTAACCCTGTTTACTGCTTGGATATCCTTGCCCTTTGATATATGAACATGTTGTTGCATCAATTCCATTGTGAACAGTGGTGTGAATGAGTTTGCACTGGTGTGTGCAAAGTGAAGCAGACTAATAGACTGCATATAGGAACTGTGAGATGCACTTACCTGTAATGGTTAGAAAGAAGGGTAAACGTGAATATGTGTGTGTTCATGGGCAGCATTTTATTCACATTGATGGGAGGCATAGACAGAATAGGATTAGGTGGCAAGAGCATGGGGCTAAAGTGGTCCATGCAGATGTGCAAGAACACTGGGGATGCTGCCTAAGTGTACTGTGGGAACCATCCAGACCTAAATGATTTAGCAGAGAGACAGTGGGAGCAATGTCACAGATCCCCAGCTTCTCTGCATCCCTACTAAATGCCTATGTTCCCAAAGACCCAATCAACCATTCATGTTTCCTAAACCCCATTCAGTTTTCTTGCCCCTAGCTTCTAGCCTGCTTCCCTTGTTCACCAAGGCATGGGCTTTGCACCATCAGAAACAGGCAGAGATGAATGAAACATTTTTATCAGAAACTGAAGCAGTTGAGGGCACTGGGATACAAAGACACATTACACTGGGACCTGGAGATTTAAGAAAAACATCATCTATCATCAGAATCAACCTAAAATGACAAGAGTTGGCAACACTGAAGTAACTGAAGAAATTCCAATAATGTAAAATTGTTAGCACAGAAGGCAAGGTTTGCTCTTGAATCCCGAATAAAAATTCCTTCCCTGTAGATATGGTGTTGTTCTGTATTGCTTTTGACTATAATTTAAATTTGGACAGTAGGTGTCACTATTACCCATTCACAGAGAGTCACTTTCTTCTCAGTATGTTGTACACTTCCTGATATAAATGATGACTTTTCTTAAAACAGTTTTTTTATTTAGTAAGTAAACTACATTGGTCCCCCCAAATTCTACATATTTATACAAAGATTTTCCAGATATGCTGACACCCCAATGACTTTCCAGGCACACTGAAATGTTCTGTTTAAAAACGTTCAAAACAACTGAGCACATTGTAAAATCTAGAGTGATTATTTTGTTAGATGTATTTGGTAATCATCTCTTAGAATCACATGCTTTTAAAATGCACTGTAGTTATGCCTTCTCACATGCAACCTACATATGCAATCTTTGGGAAACCCTTGTAGTCCAAGATGATTGTCTTCCATGACTATAAGGGCCTTGGTTTTGAAACATCTGCTTAGATGGACCCCTGCACATGCACAAAGCCCCATGGTGGGGAGTGAAGTTTTATGTGAGCCCAGGGATAATGGCTGCACATGTCTCTTGGCAGGTTCACAGTATAAGTCATGTATTGAGCCTATCGCTAAAGAGAACTCCCATCAGTAACCTTCCTCAACTTCAAGCCTCCATAACCAAACCTAAATTCCTCAACCACCAGTATTACTGAACCAACAGGCTGAAGATCACATTTGTCCATGCCCTACATATTTGAAAATAAATTTGTTTTAATCAAAAAGTAGTTTCGTTCTCTGGAAGCCCTCATTGTAGCAAGCATTTTTGTCTTTTTTCTTCATAGATTATTCAAGAGTGAGGATTCTAGGTTTTTTAAGATTGTATACTTTTTGAAATAGCTAAAAAAGTCAGTATTCAAGTGCTGGCAAGGAAGATGACATTGAATGGCAAATAGGTATGCACTGCTCACTGGTAAAAAGGACAGAGGGGAGTAGAGTAATAGTAGAAGGTGGGAAAGCAAATAGTATCCTACTAGCAGGTGAGCTTGAGTCAAACCCTGAACAACACAGAACATCAGGGTTTTCAAAGTTTGGACCTGAATTTTGTGTTCTGGCACTATCTCTAGTTACTAGAAATTTTGGTTTTAATGAGTAGGAAACAAAGTCAAACTTCTGTTTTGGTGGTGAGGGGTGGAACTTATTTGAATGGATGTGAACAAATGGTGAGCTAACTGGCAGCAGGGTTCCATCCATTTTGTTCTCTGCTCCAAGAAGTCCACTAACTGTTCTATCGAGGTGCATTAGAAACACTGTTATTAATGTCACGGATCACTCTGATGTGGCCCAAAAATTACATGTTAAACTACTATGCTTTAAAAGTCATTAAACTTCTGGACACCAAAAGCTTCAGAGTGGGTATATCTACCTGTTCATTAATGAGCTTTTGCTACTGCACATTAAAGTTAGTACCTCTAACTAACTAAATGCGCATTAGGCTGCCCTAACGCACAGTAGCAAAAGCACACACTTTTTTAGTGAAACAATGTGCAGTAGCTTAATTTTACTGTACCTTAGTGTATTAGCACCATTTTTGCCATGACACTCTAATGTGCAGTAAAATAGTCTACTGCACATTAAAGTGCAAGTATAGACATGCCCAGTGTGTATCAAAATAGTATTTAGAGACAAAAATCAACAGGGACAGGGTATAGGAAGGCCAAATCTTACATTATATAAAGTAATTATATCAGAACTGTACTGGGATGTAGCAGAGGAGGAAGCATAAGGAAAAAACTACCATATCTGTTTCAAGAAAGCCAAAACAAAATCATTTTTCATTTCTCAAGAATGTACCTGATGTTTTAAAATTTGCTTCTCTTTGAATCAGTAATGTAAAAGGCACGAGTATAAATTACAAGCTGTTAAAAAGTCAAGCCTTTGACATTTCACTTAGGCTGAAAAATGTTTTTAAAACAAGAGGAGATTTTTGCCCTGAAAAGACAAGGTTTTCTGAACACAAGAGAGGGGAAAGGGGTTGCTTATTCAAACCTTAAAATAAGGATATCATGATTATAAAATTAACAGTGTTTGCACTTGTCTTGGACGCTTGAACAAATGCTGTTTGTCCTACTTCAGAGGTGTATGATCCTACCAGTAATTCGGTTTTCAATTTCTCCTTGCATCTGGAGAGAGTCAACATAAATGGTCCTGTTTCCAATGATTCGTGCACATGCAATTCCTCTGTAAGGCTGACAGAACCCATCTTCCTGGTAATCTTCCCTGCAAAAGACAAATTTGGATTGTATAAGTGCATCTACAGATGTCTCGCTGTCCCCAAAGAATTTTAAAGAATTTTATTCTTATAAAAAGGTTGTAAATCTGGAATTCTTCAGTTCTCCAGGTGCTGCTTTCTCCCTCCAATTCCCTTTATACCACTCCAGCAGTATTTATGGAGGTACCACTACAAGCCTCTAATTCAAGAAAGGAACAAAGTAAGAATCAAGAATACTCATACAATTATATGCTAATGAAAATGTGATTTGACAGAGGAATCTATTAGAAAGCTGCTAGACTGAGATAGTAATATAGGTTGCATCACATATCCTCATACATTCCTGGCATATAACTGAATTCAATGAAATCAGACAAACAGTTGGTTCTCTTCTCCCACTCCTTTCAACCATTCTTCAATTCCTGCAGCAAACAGCAAAATAGGACTTGCCAAACTTTAATTAACATACAACATAATTCTGAACTAAAACAGAATTAAAAGTAATCAGTGGTTACCTTCTTTTCCCTCCCACCTTTGTCAGATTCGGCGGCAAATCTCTCTTCATTGAGCATAATTTTGCCCTCCCTTTCACCAGTAAAATATATTGTTGTAAATGGAGTTGCTCTATTAACACTGAGAACTCAACGGCATGTTTTGGCACTTTTACCTACAGAATAATTTAAAATGCATATTTTAATGTGGTACTTCAAAGTTCTCCACAGGTTGGCCAACCTTGTTTGCCTTATTGTCATATCATGATAGCACCTCCTATTTTTGCTCCTTCAAAGGGGCCTTTCTTGACTGCTTGTGTGTCTTTGCACTTTCTTCCTTATGGCTTCCCATAGGTGGGAGAAAACGCCTAGCTAGTATCTGTGAAACCACCATGTTATCCTCCTTGTAGCTCATACCAAGAAGAACTATGGAAAGCTGCCATGTGATAGAAAGTTGGACAAGGAATGCGTTGTTACCCATCTGACTACTGACTACTGAGTTGTGACTACTGAACAGCTAAGAACAGTGCATGCAGTAAGTCTGTGTTAAAATAGCCCATTATTTTTGTTACTCCTATGCTGTGCCTTGTCTTTCACCTCATTTTTTGTCTCGTTTACTTGCTATATTTTGCCTCTTATATTAAAATGTTTGGAGGTGAAGGGGCGGACAAGGAGAGGGAGGACTTTCATTTACTGAATGTTTAAAAAGAGCTAAAAACAATGGAGTTCTGATCTGCTTGAGGACTTTAGGCACTAAATAAATATTTAGGCCTGCAAATAGAGGTGCACCAATACATTGGTCCATATTGTACCAGCACCGATAAAAGGAAAATTGACATTTTCAATAATTGGCTTTTTTTGGCTGATATGGCCGATAATGTTGCCAATACATGCCATGTGCATGTGCACAGCTGCAGCATGCACGCAGCCAGGAAAACAGCCTGACAGCCTGGAAAGCAGTGTCCAGCTGGTAAGGGGCGTGGTGTTCGGAAGAGGTGTGTGGGGAGGGGCGCATTGAGGTCCCCACAGTGATGGAGGAAGTGGGAGGGGCTGGAGCAGGGGCATGGGACGAAGTTGCATGTGGCTTGTCCCAGAGGCACAGGGGGTGGGGAAGGGGAGCAGCTCCTGCTGCTGTATGCAACCCTGGGGGAGGCATGGAGGGTATGTGCCCTCTGGATCTGAGCACAGGGTGAGGGTGGACTGGGGGCAGTGCTGGGCTCTTCCCGGAGAGGGGTGCTGGGCTGGGGTTTCACTTGGGGCAGGCAGGGTGGGGTGGCTGGCAGCAGCACAGTTAGGGGAAGCTATGGGGGGGTCTCAGCCACTGTAAAATTTGCTGTAGCTCCCCCCATAGCCCCATAACCCCTCTCCCAGCACCACCGTCCCCTGCCCCATCCCTGCCCGCAGCCCTGGCCCAGCCCCTCCCCCCCTGCTGGGAAGAGCCTGGCACCACCCCTGGCTCGAAGCAGGCAGCCTGCTCTTGCACCACACACAGCTCTGTGGGGCTCATGCCCCTAATGCCTCCCCCTGGACCAGCTGCTCGTGGCTCCGTCCCATGCCCCTCCCTGCCCTGGCTGGGCAGTGCCTAGCCTTGCCCCAGCTCCATTCCCTCACCGCGGGGGCTTTGATCTGTGCCCCCGTGCCCCTTCCTCCCCACAGATTTACCAGCCTGATGCTGCTCTCCAAGCTGCTAGGCTCATTATTGGCAATCTGCTCGGTATTGGCTGGCATGGTTCGTTAATAATCGGCCATCGGTATCAACCCAAAACATCTTTGTTGTTGCACCCCTACCCACAATATAAATGTTAGATGTTAATAAAGTAATCATTTATCTACAAATATAGAATTAAGATTGACTTCAGCAGAGGCATTTCACTGTGCTCCAATGCAGAACAATGTCAAGGTAGAGCCTGGTGCTTTCAGGACAAGCTAACTGTCACAATGAACTATTTTAAGCTGCAGACTCATTATTGTAATAAAACCTTTTATTTTGTAACAATTCCCAAATATGCTGAGTCTGAAACATCACACTGTTGCACTCGCACAGTTACCAAGTCGAGAGAACCTCAATGGGAAGCCAACTATCTTCGTAATTAACTGAAGAAATATAAAACCCCTATTTGACCTCTTTCTCACAGGCAGAGTTCAAACACCTACCCTGGGGGAAATAAGTCAGTGACGAGATCTACATGTAACTATACCTGACATTCCTCCTATACCTCTGTGTGGAGGATACCTTGATAAGAACAGGAACCTTGCCAGTATAAAGTATCTGCAGGAATAAGTAATCTAAACAACAATGTTTTGGTGACAAAAGTAGTATGATCAGTTATTCAGTGTCAATATATTTATTTCTGTCATGAACTTTCAAGGACAGGTCAGATACTATATATATACACATGTATGTTAATACAGATTTCCCCTGTGGAGTGTAATAGTGAACTGCTGATTAAACTAAACTGGATAGGGCCATTACCATGGATGCAAGCAAAAGTAAACAGTAATTTGATGTCAGAAGTTCTGACAGAAGCAGGCCTCTTGTTAAAATACATTTGGCATGTATCCTGTGTATCTGTCTAGCATACGTCAGGCAAAGCATTAAAGAGAGTCTGGCTACCATTAATGACCTAGAGAACTAAGCTAGATTTAACCCTTTTAACAAAGACAGTCAATTTTCAGCTTTGTAGCACTCCTAGGCTTCATTCTCCAGTCAAACACAGTTCTCTGGAGTCACAGGAAGCTTTTGATTCATGTCCCAAACCAGATGTCAGTAACTTAATTTATGATCAGAGCTGGAGTTAGAGCTGCTATGGCTGAAAATAAGCAGAAATTAAGACTTTTCAATTTCCTGTTTCTTTAGATGTAAAGACTCTTCTGATCAAGAACATTGTTAGGAGCAGAACTTGACTCCAGGGCCAGGTACAGACATTACACTTTTACTGGTAGTAACTGGAAACAAGACTGTACCCATAACAGAACAGAAGTTCGGCACACACAGACTGGTTTAAAAATGGTGGAACCTGGTTTAATACTTGTCCCCCCCCCACCCACACACACACACCAAAGGGCAAATATATGTTCTGTTTGCTACCAATCTAAACTATGCCACTTACAGGAAACCATGCAACTTAATGCAATTCTGTCTTGGGCTTTTTGAATGTGTGTACCTAGCCCAGGAGAACAGTCCACAAGAGCTCACTTTATCCCACCTGCTAATATCTTAACCATAAACTCCAAAGAAAAGAAGTATTTTGTTTTTGTCCTTTAACAGTCTTTTAAAAATAGATATTTAACAATACTATCACATTACTTCTTCTCCTACCTTTTTCTTCTTTTTTTAACATGGGTGTATTAGGAATATCAACAGTTGTGAATTCCATACCCCTCCCCAACCCTCGCTGGGAGACTCTTTTAAAGACCAGATACCTGCAAACAGCACTTAGTTGAAGTAGAGACAGAATGCCATTTCCTTGACCTGCCCCCCCCTCCCCCCAAACAACTTTTCTCCCAAGTTTTCATCAGGTGTGTGAATAAAGCAGTTTTAGAGAAACAGTACGACTAAACTTGCCCACTTCTCTTAATGCTCCAAGTTCAGTTTCTGTGATGTCATATCCCAACTAGTTTTCCAGCAACTAAGAGGAGTATATTTGTAACACAAGGCTGTCACCTAAGCTAGCAAGCAAGAAATACTGAGGAGAGAGGAGTGGCTTAGATTCTAACCATAAAAGAGCATCAACTGAGCTGGCTTGGGCACCTATTTCTTGCAAAAAAGTAATGCTCTTCACCCCAATAGCCAGCAATAGAGACCTGCCTGTGATATGGAAAATCACAGTTCAAATTCTTCCCTCTTATTTGGAGCAGGAAACTGAACTTAGGATCATGGCTTAACCCTTGGGATATTAAGTATGTTGGCATGGGAGCTTCTCAACCCCTTCTGCTGAAGGTGTTTCATGTTGCAAAACTATTTTCAATTTTTTCTTGCACCAAAGAGAGAGAGGGAAAAAGTAAGAGACCGACTCAATAACTCAGTGGCTAAGGACTGCACCTGGGATATGAGAATGCTAGGTTTCTGTTCTTGCTGCAATGAATAGTTAATTTAAGCTTCAGCAACAGAAACGGACAGAACTTCACCCTAAAACAATGAACAACCTTATAGTTGAGCATTTCACTAGTAGATGGGAGACCCAAGATCAAATCCCTGCTCCAAATGAGGCCAGTGGCATAACTAGGGTGAGGAAATCACCCTGGGCACCATCTTTGGAAAAGGAGGTGAAATGGCTCCCACTGGTAACTGTGCAATGATACTGGCGATGCAGTGGCAACTGGAAATCACCATGGCCCCTGTTTCTTGAGCACCCTGCTGCATTGCTACACTGATGAATCAGGAAGAAAAGAGACCTGAACTGGCATTATGTACATCCAAATGAGTGCTCTCATCACAAAGGAAGGAGCGTAAGGGAGGCAGTGGGGAACCAACTCTTACTTTTCATGTGGAGTTAGGCATGCCCAGAACACACATG